TTTAATGTATTTTCTTATAATTAGTGCCCTTTATAGCGATGAAGACATCTATCTATTAGACGATCCGTTAAGTGCTGTCGACTCTGAAGTCGCGAATCATATCTTCGATAAGTTTTGAATTTTTATTTAAATGACTTTTTAAACAATTATTATTTCAGATGTATTTGTGATTATCTAAAGACAAAAACAGTGGTATTAGTCACACATCAGATCCAATTCATACAAAAGGCCACAAAAATCTTGGTTCTCAAAGAGGGTCGGAGTCTAGCGTTTGGAACGTATGAAGAATTACTCGATTCTGGCATTGATTTCATGTCTTTGATTTATGACAACAAATATAAAGATAATAAAATAAATGAAAATGATGTGTCAGTCGATAGAAATGCATTTAAAAGAGAAATATCTGTTTATTCTCAGGTATTATATCATATTCCTTTATATCGGTAGAAGTAGTTAGTATAATATTTTTCATTTATTTTGATAAAATCTAACTCGCTAAACTATTAATTAACTATTATATGTTGTGATAATTTTGATGTTTTAAATGTAATTATATTGAAGGCGAGCGACAAAAAAGACGAATTTATTGCAGAGGAATATAAACACAAGGGTTCAGTGGATGGGAGAGTGTATTGGTATTACCTGAAGTCCGGTGGCAGCTATTTATTGGCAATATTTATAGTATTGTCAGCTCTTATCTCTCAAACATTAATCAGTTACAAAGATATCTATCTTTCCAACTGGTACAGTACAGTACAGTATTACTTAATTTTAAAGAAAAAACTCTATTTAATAATCATAAGTTATAATTTCCATTGACATACTCTACCATAGGGTGACTCAAATGGAGAGAAAGAACTCATCAAATGATGAAAATGGTTCCAATGGTTTCAATGAATCCGCAAATATTGTCATATATTCAGTATTAATAGCGTTGGTATTCATTGGTTTAGTGATCCGTTCGCTCACTTTCTTTACATTTTGTATAAAGTCTTCAACCAATTTACATAATCGCATATTCAGTCGATTAATGAGAGCACCCGTCTCTTTCTTTGACACCAATCCAATTGGTAATTCAATTCATAATATATTCTTGCTTGCTTAGTTATTGTTTCATTTTTAGGTCGAGTATTAAGTAGGTTCACAAAAGATTTGGTTACAGTCGACGAGCATATACCCAACTGTTTGTTTAACTTGAATATTGTAATTATTTTCATTTTACTATAGATTATTACATTTATAAGTAACCTTTTGCACACATATAGGACATATTGTATCTGGTGGCTATATTTATCGTGGTGGCCGTGGTTAACATTTACTCGATTATTCCGGCAACTCTTATGATTATACTGATTTTATTCATACGTTATGTTTATATGAAAACAGCCAGAGATTTGAAACGCTATGAAAATATATGTAAATATTATATTTGATATAATTTTAATTACAGTACATTTTACCGAAATACCCATAAAGTAAGAGACAATCATTTATATGAAATGAATGTTTAAAGTGCAGAGTCCGGTGTTGGACCACTTGACCACAACTCTCAATGGTTTGGTTACTATCCGTGCGCTCAGAGCTCAAAAGCATTGCCTCCAAGAGTTTTATGACTTACAAGACAATCATACGTCCAGTTTCTTCATGAATTTGTGCGCCAATAGGGCTTTCGGTAATTATAATTAATTTATTTTATTTGAACACTTTATCGTATTTTTCAATTATAGGTCTTCTATTGGAGTGCATATACTTATTATATCTCGCAAGTGTGGTTACATTTATAATGATATTCAGTGATAGTATGTAAATTATAAGGCTTAAAGGCAAATTAAAATATTTAGCTTATTATAATTCATTTGTAGAATATTTAAAAATTTAATAAATGTTTTAACTTATAACCATAGCTATGAGTGGGGGAACGGCTGGTCTCATATTCTACCTAACCATTGGTCTGTCAATGAATTTACAGATGACTATCAGAAATACCGCAGATTTGGAGAATCAGATGACATCAGTTGAACGGATCCTCGAATACAGTGAACTCGAGTCGGAAGAGTCGCCTAAAGAGGCGGACAGTCGTCTCAATGTATCCCCCGATTGGCCACTCGAGGGAAGCATTCATTTCCAAGACGTTTGTCTCACTTACGAGAACTCAACGAATGAGACGTTAATTGAAATCAATTGTGAGATTAAAGGCGGAGAGAGAGTGGGAATCGTCGGCCGAACCGGCGCTGGAAAGAGCTCTCTATTGGCGGTACTCTTCCGTATGCATCGATTCAAAGGCAGAGTCACTATCGATGGCACAGACATCACGACAA